AAAAGGGGCTGAATAGCTTTTGACAGAAATTGGGGGAAAAACGGGTGCGGGCCCACTAAACATGAAGCGCACCATAAACGGGAAAAAGCCCATATGAAGCCCAAGTGGGGTTCCATCCCAAAACCAATTGGTGGAAGGAGGAGTAGCCCATTAGTCTTATAAGGTGGGTCTATTTTCCATGTACGAACGATGTGGGAAAACTCACAAGTTATATTCTAACATTTTTTTTAGAAAAATATAGCTAGAATACAAAGTTTGATATAGGGGTTAGCATTAATTCCAATTCTTGGCTGGGAGCCTACGGTAGTCGTACAAAGGTCGATCAAGCTTAATTAATGATGAAAATCAACATAAGATATTGTTTTATTATTGAATTAAATCATTAATACGCTCTATCGGAATAAATTAAACAATACCGTACGACTAGGGCTGTTTTTCGAACTGAATGTTCGCGAACAAAGCTCGTTCGAGTTTGTTCGTGTTCGATAACAGCTCGTTTGTTTAGCATTCGAACCGAACACGAACATAAAATTACGTTCGTTTAGTTATCGAACGAACATGAACATGTTCGCGAACTAATCGAGCGTTCGCGAACAAAAAAAAATATCTTATAATTTTATATATTATATATAGTATATACATGTATAATATAATATATAAATATGAATATATATTAAATATTAAATAAAAAACAAATATTTTATAATTTTATTTATTATATATAGTATATACATATATAATATAACATATAAATATGAATAAATATTAAATAATAAATAAAATAACTTGTATGACATTAAAATAAAAAAAAGTTAAAAAACACGAACACGAACATGTCGAACAACTCGAACACGAACTTGTCGAATAATTCGAACAATTTGAACAGTTCACGAACATGTTCGACTAGATAAACGAACGGACACGAACGTGTCGAACCAATAAACGAACGAACACGAACAAATTTTTTTGTTCGTTTACTAATCGAACGAACACGAACATATTCGAAAATTAATCGAACTCGAGCTCGAACACCTTAAGCTCGGTTCGGTTCGGTTCGATAACAACCCTACGTACGAGGAATCAAACTGTATAAGTCACCAATTTTAATAAAACACAATCAAATACCTTCTCATTTATTATTGGCCAGGGAGTACATCATGCACACTCACACAAGGATATTACATTGATATATATGATACACACCTATAAACATATATAGGCAAATTAATCATAATTTTTCTTTTTTTTCCTAATTAGAATATGGAAAAAGGGCAGCCACAACTGCACAAACGTTAACGAGCTTGAGCATGTCCCTATTCTCCTTGGCCATGGGGGACGGACTCTGACCGAACCCATTCTCGCACGCATTAATCTCGTTCTCGGCGGTGGCGGCCAGCGTGTCGAAACCGCAGTACGTCTCGGAGTCGAGGTTTCCGAGCACTTCCATCATGGCCCGGCCCGCCTTTGTGTAGCTTTCTTGGCAGGCCTTGAAGCCCGCCAAGATGTAGGGCTTCTCGTTCCCCCCACTGTTGAGTCTCGTCTGGATCAGATCCGAGATGTTTTGGGCTTTGGCGTAAGCGAGGCCGTTGGCTATGTAGGCAAGGACCACAGAGTCGGCAGACGAGGCCCGTGGGTCGGAAAAGAGGGCATGTTTGCAGTATTTCGGGTCGGTAGTGTTTGAGCAGACTTGGACGACTAGCGATGTACTCGATTCTGATAATATTGGTCGGCCGGCCTCCGAGTAGGAGAAGAGACAGGCTAAGGCAAATAAGAAAGCCGTAGTTTTAGAGAAGGCCATTTTTTTTTTTTTTTTCTTAATTACTTTCTCTCTATTGATGTTTAGGAGAGGAAAGATTAAGTTGCATGTGAGGTGTGGGATTAGGGGTTTGTAGAGGCACATATATATAGAAAGAAAAAATTAATGCATGGTGGGATATATGTACATTATTTATGCCTATGTGACTTCACTATGTATATTGAGTTGCTTGGTGCGGTTAGGCCCGTTTCTTTATCAGCTCGGTTTCGATTATCTTCGTGAGAATCCATGTTATTTTTTTACCCAAGTTATAGGGGAAATTGGAACTTTTTTCCCCATTAACCGTCAAAAGTGTCTTTACCGAACACACTAGCGGTCGAGAACTTATGTAAGGGATTCTGTTACATTTGTAAATTAATATTCTTCAGCTGATCTCACAAAGCGCAACAAAATATAAGTGGGATCTTGCGACTTGCAACAATTTCAAAATCATGGCTACAAATAAATATAAATAAACCTTGCAAGTTGCAAAACAATTTCAATCCTTAACCCTATCATATTTGCACAATGTACATGATTACACCACACAATAACTGCCTACAGTGATATGCATTGTGAACTAAGCCATTTAAATAAACAAGTAAATGGTACTTTCATTTACTTAAAATATTATATTTCAAAGCTACATAATCTATCTAAAGGCTATATCATCTCTCTGTATCTACGGAGTAATGTTATAGAGCCAATTTGAATGACAATTCAAATATAAATGTATTATCTATAAATTTTTTGATAATACATTTATACTTGGATTGTAACTCAAGTTACCATCAAAGTGGGCTAAATAGCATTACTCATATCTACGATATTGTTTTTAAAAGTTTTTGTCTTTCCGGACAAGTAATAAGAAATTGGAATAAATCTCAAGTGCTAATTAAGAATTTTTTTTTTTTCAATTAAAAATATAAAATAAAGATACAGTGTCTAAAGTTGTCATAATGTCAAAATAGTATAATGATAGAAATGTTGAGAAGATTGAATATATGTGAATGAGTCAATAGCGAAACTTAATAAGACAAGGTAAAAAAGTAATGGCTAAATTTCATTTTTAGTACACTATGTTGGTCATTTTTTTAAAATGGTTCATCATATAAGGTGTCTTCAAGAATCGTCTACTAAATTATCATTTTAATCAAAACTCGTACAAAAGCCAACATAGTGTACTATATATAACTAAAAATGATCACTTTTAGTACACTATTATTGTACGAATTTTGAATAAATTGACAACTTAGTGGACTTTTCTTGATGACGCCCTAGATGATGGATCTTTTCCAGAAAATGTCCAACATAGTGGACCATTTTTGGAATTTTGCCAAAAAGTAATTAATTATAATTTAGTACATAATGTTGATGAGTTAAGAAGAAAAAAGGGAGATAGCGTTGGCAAGACTAGAAAAGAGTTCGAGTCGTGTAAGTCCAAGCGCTGTACTTTATGCGCACAAATCGAGTTAGTAATCAAAATGCTTTGAGGGGTAATAGGACACTCCCAGAATATATTTTTAAGTTAATTGCCTACGCTTTTTAATTTTGGTGTTCGAACACACTTGCGTATTCTTTTTTGCTCTGAATGCTCTAGCCGCGATGAGATTTCTGCCTTAGAAGGTCCTCTTTCGATCCTCCAATCCTTTTAAAGGAAAAGGAACATATTCATAATTTTTTTTATTTATTTTTTATTTTTTTTACTTTTAATTCCGTCATTTGGGGCTATTACCAAAAAAGTATTACTTTTAATTTTTAGTTTGATCCCTCAACAAATTAAAAAAATCTAATAATGGTATCTCCACTTTTAAATTCACAATAATTTAATACTCTCTTTATTTAAAATTATTAATTTTGTAGATCACTTTAATTGAAATATATTATGACAAGTATACACATTTAATCTGCAAATTAAATATTTCCAACACACCGTACGAGGAATCAAACTAAGTCATCAGTTTTAATAAAACACAATCAAATACCTTTTCATTTATTGGCCAAAGTAATCATGCATACCTATAAACATATATAGGCAAATTAATCATAAATTTCATATAAACATACACACATGCATAAATATATGAATTAAGCAGCAAGCAGAAAGCAAGCGAGTTCCTAATTAGAATAGGAAAAAAGGGCAGCCACAACTGAACAAATGTTAATGAGCTTGAGCATGTCCCCATTCTCCTTGGCCATGGCGGATGGAGTCTGGCCGAACCCATTCTCGCATGCCTTAATCTCGTTCTCAGCCATGGCCGCCAGCTGGTCGAAACCGCAGTACGTCTCGGAGTCGAGGTTTCCGAGCACCTCCATCATGGCCCGGCCCGCCTTAGTGTAGCTTTCATGGCAGGCCTTGAAGCCCGCCAGAATGTTGGGCTTCTCGTTATTTCCCCCACTGTTGAGTCTCGTCTGGATCAGATCCGAGTTGTTTTGGGCTTTGGCGTAAGCGAGGCCGTTGGCTATGTAGGCAAGGACCACAGAGTCGGCAGAAGAGGCCCGTGGGTCGGAAAAGAGAGCGTGTTTGCAGTATTTCGGGTCAGTCGTGTTTGAGCAGACTTGGAAGACTAGAGATGTACTTGATTGTGATAATATATGTCGGCCGGCCTCCGAGTAGGAGAAGAGGCAGGCCAAGGAAACCAAGAAAGCAATAGTTTTAGAGAAGGCCATTCTTTTTTTTTTGGCTTAACTTTCTCTCTATTGATTGATGTTTAGGAGAGGAAAGATTAAGTTGCATGTGAGGTGTGGAATTAGGGGTTTGTAGAGGCACATATATATAGGAAGAAAAGATGCATGGTGGGATGTACTTTCAACTTTGTACATGTACATTAATTATGCGTATGTGACTGATTCTGTATATTGAGTTGCTTGGTGCGGTTAGCCCTGTTTTTTTTATCATTTCGGTTTCGATTCTTTGTGAAAATTCATGTTCTTTTTACCGAAATTATAGGGGAAAATCAAACTTTTTTGCCCATGAACCGTCAAAAGTGTCCTTTTTAAGGAACATTTGATTTTGAATGCGCATATCTTATGGTGAATATGTGTATTGAAAGTGGGGGAAAAAAATCTAAAATTGACGTTTGAAAAAATTTGTGGTTGGAAATTGATGTGAATTTAAATCTAAAAAGTTAGTTCGTTTTTAAGTCGCACCAAATAATTATATATTAATTTCAAAGTTGTTATCTAGTATGACCTAATCAAATAGGTTATATTTCTATGACCTAATCGAATAGGTTATATTTGACACGGATTCTTTGTTGGCAATACAAGCAGTTACCGACTTTAATGAGACATACGTCTATATTTGATAAGGTCCAAGACGAATGACTCCGGTTCCTCGTCTGGTCCTCTTTGGTTTGAATGGTAGGTCGGTGGGTGTGGTTCAGTCCATGCACTCGAGTTCGTCGGTACCTGCAAAGCGCCGGAATTGTTCCGGCACAAAACCCTTCGACGCCCAAATCAGTATCGCCGAATAGAGAGAGTTCGGAGCAATAAAATGGGATAGTGAAAGTGATAATGAGAGATCTCCCTTTTGTTCTAGCATTTAACATATATATATCGTTTAATTGTAAGGATTACCTTCTCACTTGGGCATCTATCGGCCTAGTGTAGGCCGGTCGATACTGGGATACATGGGTCGACACTAGGTTCACCTCCGCATGAGTGGGTCGACACCCCCTCGACCCGTTCTACCGTGCATATCGACACTCGACCCGACCCTTAACGGTCCTTAATCTCGGCCAAGGGTAGATGTGTTCTACCCTTCAGGCCATGGGTCTATGTATTCTACCCTCTAGGTCCTGGGTCTATGTGTCTATCCTTCGGGCCATGGGTCTATGTATGTTCTGCCCTTTTTGGCCGAGTCTATGTGTTCTACCCACTAGGCCATGGGTCTATGTGTTCTATCATTCGGGTCATGGGTCTATGTGTTCTACCGTTCGGGCCATGGGTCTATGTGCTCTACCCTTCAGGCCATGGGTCTATGTGTTCTACCCTCTAGGCCATGGGTCTATGTGTTCTACCCTTTGGGCCATGGGTCTATGTGTTCTACCCTCTAGGCCATGGGTCTATGTGCTCTACCCTTCGGGCCATGGGTCTATGTGCTCTACCCTTTGGGCCATGGGTCTATGTGTTCTACCCTCTAAGCCATGGGTCTATGTGCTCTACCCTTTGGGTCATGGGTCTATGTACTCTACCTTTCGGGCCATGGGTCTATGTGTTCTTCCCACTTGGCCAAGGGTCCATGTGTTCGACCTTATGAGCCGGTTGATTCTCCGGCCCTCTTCGACCCTGGCTCAATCCCATGGTCCCTTCGACCCCGATTCTATGGGTCTTAATTTATCCGGTTGAGTCAAGCCGGTACTAATATCCTTATCAACTACTTCCCCTATTTACGAGCATACAGAACGAGATTCGTATGGTCGTAAATATCATCGGCTCAATCCCATGGTCCTTTCGACCCCAATTTTATGGGTCCTTATTCGGTTGAGTCGAGTCGATAATAAAGTCCCTATCAATATCCGATCTTGGTCTAAAGATATGGCCCAAGCAACAACATCTAGATGTCTCCATCATATGAATCGCTCGGCCAATAATGTTGTTCATTCTCTTGCTAAATTTGCTTCTTTTTCAAACTCCCGTTTCTTATGGGAAGTGGATGTTTTCCCGTCTTGGCTTAAGGAACTTATCTGTATAGGCTTAGGTTCTGTTTGATTTATTAATGATAAGTTTCTTTTCCAGTAAAAAAAAAATAAAAAAATCTCTAGGTTCTATTTGGAGAAATAGGTTACTTTTTTCATGGCGAAAAATTCTCTCTAAAAAATCTCTTCGCGAAACACCACCGAAGAAAAAAACAGAGGAGGGCCTCCTCGCCTACACCAGGAGAAATAGGTTACTTTTTCCATGGCGAAAAATTATCTCTCTAAAAAATCTCTTCGTAAAACACAAATCGAAGCAAAAAATAGAGGAGGGCCTCCTCGCCTACACCAACTCACTGTTTCCGTCCATGGGTTGTTGTCGTCACAGACCCACCTCTAGCCACCTAGATCTTGGTCTTGATCTGGTGGGTTTTTAATTAAGATTTGGGTTTGAGCTCTTTCTAACATCTGGTGTTTTTGGCTAGAGTAGTTTCCGTCGTGATGGGTAAGACAAGAGTTTTCGAGGGAGGTCTCGCTATTCTATTTGTGGATGAAGACCCTCTTGTGGCCAATATGTAGGTGGATGTGTCTGTTGGAAGCCGAAGGTTGTCACGGTGGTTGTTTCAACTTTTGCTTTTGTGTGGATGGGAGCAAGTCGAGCTAGTTGTTAGTGTTAGAGTAGGGTACCCGGCGTTCCAATCTGATTGGACGTATTCTACTTGTAAATACGATCTATTGGAATTATATTGTAAATAAGGCATTACTTTATCTTAAGAGTAAGCATTTATCTTATATTTGCACTTAAGATAAAATCCCTAGATCACTTATGGTTATAAGGTATGGTTGCGCATAGAGATGGTGATCATGGAACATACCTTGAAAGCCTTGATCTTAAATACAGTTCCAAGTCGATGGATGTTTCGAGATGTGATATCGAATAATCCATAAAAGACTTGCACATAGTTTGTACGCTTGTTGGACAAGAATGTTGCATTCCATCAACATTAGCGTGAGACGCAAATACATTTATGTGGGTGCTTGTTAGAGAACAAGTTCACTGGACATGACCGTATGAAAATTCTTAATGAAGAATTATTTTAGTTAATAATCTGTCGAATAAGAATTTTCATGTTACAATAGTACATGACTAATCCTAAGACTTGAGGCACAATGGTAACTTTGTGCATATTACATTCTACTTTGATTTATCCTTTTGGTAGCTAGCACTATCGTATAAAGGGATATTTTGGGTATTATGTTAATATGTATGGAAGTTTGTTAGTGGCCAATAAAGGATTCGACACTTATGAAGATAAGTGAATTTCCTATGTATTTCATAGTTATTAATCCAAAGTCCTTGGCCAAGGCAGAGATGAATAGTGATTCATAACCGGGTTAATACACTTTGAAATAGAATCATAGTTATTAAGTCAATTTGGGTTTCGACAAAATCATACCCAAGACTTAATCGGGAAATTAGATGTCGAAAGGATTTTACATGTATGGAGTTGTAATTGAAATAGGTTTACTCGCTATTCACTTAATACTAGATTCATGCTGCTTGCTAGGTGTTACCATGATATGTGGGTTCTAGAATTAAAGAGTTAATTCAAGAATAAGAGTTAATTAGATTTAACTCAAATTACAAAGTGTTGTAAACCCACTACTAGTATTAAGGTGAACCTAAAAGGTCACACCTATTATGAACAAAGGTAAAGATTGTATTTCTAATGGTTAGAATTAATTGATAAATATCTAATTTGATTAGATATCAATTAAAGGAATATATATTAATCAATAAGATTGATTAATTACAATTTTGGATATTACTTTAGTAATTAAGGTAATTACTAAATTAATAAAGTTGAATTTTAAAATAGGATTTTAAATTTCAAAATCCAAAATAATAATAATATGATTATTATAATATTGGGAAAATCATATAATAATAAAGTCTTGAGAAAGATTCTCAAGATTTATTATTCAATTATTATTTATATCTTTAAATATGATTTAAGGATTAAGATAATAAATATGATTATAATAAAATGGTTGTTGATGGTTGTTTGAACTACTTAACATATCTTATTATTTTCAAAGTCAAAAGTTAGTAAATACTATTTAAATAAAATTTGATTTTATTTAAATATTACTAAATGTTGATTATTTTATGCTAAAATGTTTAGTATAAATATGTGCAAAATGGTTTTGCATTTAGAGAAGTTTTGATCCTAAAATTTCTAAGTGTTAGAAAGAGAGAAGAAAGTGTTCTTCATATAATTCAAGAAAGAGTTCTTGAAAATTCCCAAATAAAAATTCATAAATATTCCTATACAAGAAAACCGAGTCTTTTCTACTAGCGAAGGAAAGTCGTCGGAACCGGGCTTCATAGGGTGGATACGTTTAGAGGGAAGACACTTGGATTCCTCTAGCGAGTAACCTCAAGTCGTTGAAGTTACAACCGGGAACCGATTCCCTCATCCATCATCAATAGTGAAGGAGTTCAAGACATTCGGTAAATATTTTTACTAGTATTTACTTTATAGTAACAAATCAAAATTTGTATATGATGCATGTTTTAAAGATGACGATCAGTTAATTCGCAATTAGTATGTACGGGTGTTGTATTTATACGATAAATACTTACTTTAAAAATTTTAAATTCCGCTGCGTACAGCCCGTACGGTACTATCGAACCCAACAGTGGTATCAGAGCCACGGTTATCATCTTTAAAAACAGATTTTGATTTGTTTATGTTTATATGATAAACATTTTTAATCATATAAATTTGTGTGTGATACAAAAGTTGTATTTGATTTTAATTTTGGGATTAATAAAAATGAATCGAATTGTTCGAGTTCATACGGCCAGAAAATGTTTCTGATCAAGTTGATTAATATATATACAAGTTGTTGTGTATATATTGAAATTAGTTTCATGATTAATTAATTATAATCAATAGTTGATTAATATATATACAAGTTGTTGTGTATATATTGAAATTAGTTTCATGATTAATTAATTATAATCTATTATTGATTAATATATAAATACATAAAGATGTATTATTGCAAGTATTAATTGCCATGACTCAATTGTTGAGTTATAGATAATGTATCTATTTGTCCAATATAAAAGTCATGAGATGACATTATTTAAAAAAAAAAAAAAAAAAAAAATGAATAGTCACACTGGTCGTGTGACTATGTGACACGGGTCGTGTGACCTCACACGGGTCGTGTGAGGTGCCACACGGGTCGTGTGGACAAATGGACAATTATAAGTTGCTTGCGGTTTTTTCACACGAGTCGTGTGACCACTCGTGTGATCACTCGTGTGACGTCACACGGGTCGTGTGACCACTCGTGTGACCACTCGTGTGGCATAAAAAAAAAAAAAATTAATAAATAAAAAAAAAATCTTAATTATTATGAATACTTAAGTTTTAGATTATTAACTATTATGAATAGTTAATAATATAATAATCCCAAAAGTAAATCAACACACAAAAGATGGAAAATTTATATGATTCATAAAAATTCGATTTTTCCACACGAGTCGTGTGAGTCCACACGAGTCGTGTGAGAAATCACACGAGTCGTGTGGTTCATCAAAATGTTTGATTATGTTTGAAAGCAGGTCCACACGAGTCGTGTGACCTTGTCACACGAGTCGTGTGAGCTCACACGAGTCGTGTGACGAGCCACACGAGTCGTGTGAGTCTGGGAAAAATTTTGATTTTCAATTCGTATTTTTCACACGAGTCGTGTGATAAGATCACACGGGTCGTGTGACCCTCACACGAGTCGTGTGACTCATAAATTGATATTTTATGTTCATTTCATTAGATGAATGTTTTAGGGATGATCATGAGCCTCATATTCATTATGTTTGAATGGATGTTTTCATTTTCAATATGATTGAATGAATGAATGGATGTTTAATTATGTTTTCAATATGATTGAAGAAATGTAATTTATCGAGACCTGCGAGTCTCTTGAGATGAAATTTGTAAAATTTTAAATTTTGTATCGTTAGAGATTAGATCAAGGTGGAGACCGTTCGATGACAAAGGCCCACGCATGTGTGGGTAATTTTACAAGTTGTAATCTCGAAGGCCTGTGCTTGTACGGGTAGATAGAATAAATGTAATAGAAGTAGTTCTATTATTTGTTTTATCACGTACATAGGCATAGATCCATTTTGGCTCGAATGGATCGAATAGGCAAGGACATGATCATCCCACCATGCATTAGATGTATGTTAGGTTTATTTACGCTTTCGTTTCATTAGATGACTGAAATCGGTAAATAAACGTAAAGATGGTAATCGATGAGATCAAGGAACCCAAACGGATTAATTTGATTAATTCCATATCAAATCAATAATGGATAAAAATAAGTTGGAACTTATTAATCCCGGCCTTCCATCAAAAGTAGATGACATGAGATGCTACGATGTTTTATCATTGGCCACGAGTCGTGGGATGATTCTATGTCGAAAGCTGTGAACTCTATTAAATATATTGATATTCGTGAGACGGATTCCTCTTTGTGTTGGCCATGAGTCGTGGGACACTCTGGTGGGCCGTTATCATGAAAGTTTTGATGGGTTTGATTTGACACCGAGTAATATATATGGAGTCATAAAATTGAGGTATATAAGGAAAGGTGAGGCAAAACATCTTGAAGGTTGTATAGAGATACAATTGTCAAAAAGTTGACTACCGATAAAATTGTTTCATGGTGGCATCATAAAATTGGGACATGAAATATTTTTATTGGACTTCAAGCCCACTATGAAAATAATGATTTTCATAATTATAATGAGGTTCTAATTAAATTAGTGGGAGACATTTAATGTTAAAGACCTAATATTAAATGAATATAAATTCCATAGTCTAATTATTTTCTGCTTCGTTTGTTATTTTTGTAGATCAAACTACTAAAATGGCTAAGAATCCAATCGCGAGTATCCTTGATCATAATAAATTAACTGGTCCCAACTTCAATGATTGGTTGAGGAACCTAAAGATTGTTCTTCAGTCTGAGAAGCGAGAGTATGTTTTGGAAACAGCTCCTCCTCCTCCACCGGAGGATCAGACTGCTGAAGAGTATGGAGCCTACTTGCGTCATGTTGATGACAATCTCCAAGCTCGGTGCTACATGCTAGCATCAATGTCTAATGAGCTACAGAGACAGAACGAATTACTGAATAATGCTTCTGAAATCCTAACTCACCTGCAAGAGTTGTATGGTGATCGGACGCGACAAATTAGATATCAGATATCTAAAGAGCTTTTCAGGTGTCGTATGACCGAGGGCTCTTCAGTTCATGATCATGGACTGAAGATGATAGCTCTTGTGGAAAGACTCGAATCACTTGGAGTCATTATGGATAATGAACTCTATGTGGATTTATTGTTGCAATCTCTGCCAGCGTCATTCGATAACTTTGTCGTTAACTACAACATGCATAATATGGAAACTGATCTTCCAGGATTATTAAACATGTTGAAGACGGCTGAGTCCACCATTAAAAAGGACAAGCCGGTACTTCTTGTTGGATCCACTT